ATGGCATTATCGTCTTGGCCATTTGAATAAAGAAGACTTGTTGGAAATTTCGAGAAAATGATTAGCCGTTGGAATCAAGATAAATGAAGAAAAGAAGTTAGAAACATGCGATGTATGCTAACAAGGAAAAATGACTGTTCTACCATTTCCCAAGAAGTCTAAAAGATATACAACAAAATTGGAATTAATACACACTGATGTTTGGGGACCGTCAAGAGTAGAGTCGTTGGGATGCGCTCGTTATTTTGTCACTTTTATTGATGATAGCACTCGATGGTGTGAAGTTCGGTTTATTAGGAATAAAAGTGACGTTTTTCAAGCTTTTAAAGAATATAAAGCACGTGTTGAAACACAAACTGGCTGTAAAATAAAATGTTTAATGTCAGATAATGGAAAAGAATATTGTAATAAGGAGTTTGATGAGTTTCTGAAGAAAAATGGTATTTGTCAACATCTAACTGTTCCTCATACACCACAACAAAACGGAGTAGCAGAACGAAAGAACAGAACATTAATTGAAATGGCACGGTGTCTTTTGATACATTCTGGATTTTGGGCTGAAGCAGTGGCTACTTCAAATTATTTGAGAAACCGATACCCAACATCTAGTTTGGATAGTCATTCTCCATTTGAAGCTTGGAACAAAGAAATACCGGATTTGAGCAACTTGAAAGTGTTTGGCGCAAAGACGTTTGTTTTAGAAAAAAGGTTAGGAAAGTCAAAGTTTGATCCACGATCACAAGAAGGAGTTCTGGTAGGTTATTCTGAAGAATTGAAAGGTTACCGAGTATGGATTCCAATCGAGAAAAAAGTTGTTATTGCTAGAGACGTACGAATCCTGGAAAATCAATTTTTAAATGAAGAAAAAGAAAATAAAACTCTTGACTGTGGTGAAGTTAAGATAGAATGTGTCCAATGTCCATATACCAATTAGTGTTCAGGAAGAAATTGAAGAAATGGAAGATGAGCAAATAAATTAACAAGAATATAAACTAGATCAACAGTTAGAGCCAATTTTGCATCGGAGGCCAGGAAGACCACGCTTGGAGAGATTAGGTACACGAGGAAAACCGCGAAAAATTTATAATACTGAGCAAACAGCAAATGTAAACGAAGATCAAGAGGAATATGAGAATTACGAAGATACTGAAACGCAAGGAGATCCTAGTGATGATGAAATATTCGTTGATGCCATAGAAAATGAAGGCGACATAATTGAAGAAGCAAATCTTGTGAATATAACGTTGAAGGAAGCAATGACTGTAGACGAAGCAGCTGAATGGATGAAAGCCATCACTGAAGAAATTCGGGGTTTGATTAAAAATAACACATGGGAAATAGTCGAAAGTCCTAAAAACAGAACTGTTGTCACATACAAAATTGTTCTTAGAAATAAACTAAAACCTGATGGAACGCTTGAACGAAGAAAAGCTCGAGTTGTAGCTCGTGGGTTTACACAGCGACAAGGAGTAGATTTCACTGACACATTTGCACCTGTAGCAAGATTAGACTCTGTTAGACTTTTGATGGCATTAGCTGCACGTGAAAAATTGCCAGTATTTCAATTAGATATTGTTGCAGCTTATTTAAACGGAAATTTAGAAGAAGAGATATTTATGGAATCTCCAGAATACATTCAAGAGGCATTACAAGAAATAATTAGAAAGTATGGTAAACATAGTAAATTAGGTAAAGAAGCTCAAGAAATGCTCCGAATGTTAACACAAGAAAATAAGGTTTGTAAGCTGAAAAAAGCATTGTATGGTTTACGACAAGCTGGTCGCCAATGGCACAAGAGATTAAGTGAAGTCTTGCAGAGGTTTGGACTCACTTCGGCTGCAAGTGATACTTGTATTTATTACAATATGAGTGAAGATCAATATACAATTTTAGTCGTCTATGTTGATGATATAGTATATATATCAAAGAATAAGCAGAAGCTAAATGACATTAAAACTGGTCTTGCGAAGGAATTTGAAGTGAAGGATCTAGGTTTAGCGCGACATTGTTTAGGAATTGAAATTAATCAAGAAAATGGTGAAATTGAATTAAGTCAACAGAGATATATAAAAGATCTCTTAAAAAAATTTCACATGGAAGAATGTAATCCAGTGAACACTCCCAGTGATTCTCAAGTGAAGCTACCTGATGGAAATCAACACCGAAGAAAGGGCAATGAAAAACCATTCAGACAGTTAATTGGATCACTCATGTATTTAGCGGTTGCTTGTCAATAGATTATCGCAATTTAATGAAAAATACGAAGATATTCATTGGTCAGCAGCGAAACGTGTATTGCGTTATCTACAAGGTACGAAAAATTATGGCTTAGTATTTAAAAAAGATTCATTTGGGATTCAAGGTTATCCTGATGCAGATCATGCAAACGATATCACTGACAGAATCTCGTATACAGGATATGTATTTCTATTAAGTGGAGCAGCAATATCATGGCGTTCGAAGAAACAGCAGTCAGTTGCAATTTCGTCTACTGAAGCCGAATATGTAGCCTTGTCAGAAACATCTCGTGAAGCTCTATATTTGCGAAATTTAATGTTGGAATTGGACTTAACTGATTTATCAAAAATAAATTTTGGAACTGACAATTGAGGAGCGAAGTATATTGCAGAAAATGCTACTTGTCATTCACGCACCAAACATATTGCCACGAGATATCATTTTGTACGTCAATTGGTGAAAAATGATTAACTAAAGTTGAGATATGTACCAACGGAGATAATGCCTGCTGATATTCTCACCAAATCTCTACCAGGACTTGCACATCATCGTCATGTACAAGCAATGGGATTAAAAATTTGTCAAAGCGCAAAATTTGAGAGGAGCATGTTAAGAGAATAAATCAAATTTGCTCTTTTATGCCATCTGTGTCACTTGACCATTACTACGTTACGCTATTATTGTTCCTTTTTTTGATGTAAATACTACTATCAATTAATAAAAACGTTAATAGGAGATTGTATTAATTTAATGAACGAATATTGTTATAATCAAAGTTTAATTCTGATAAACATGTAAAAGTTATCAATATCCCACCTACAAAATTCTACAGGTGATACTCTGAATATAAGAAAAAAGTTCATATGAACTTGATTTTTCAATTCTCATTTATTTTTATACATTTTTGAAGATAATCTTTCAAATTAGTAATAGTTATAGTAATTATAATTAGTACTATCAAAACTTTTTAAAAGACTGATGAAATACACATATCAATTACTATTTGAAAAAGTCCACAGAGTTATACATTTTTAGAACATACAGGTACAGCGCCGGACTGGGAGAAAAAAGCGGCCTGGGAATTTTTCAAATTAGCGGCCCTAAAAAATTCTAAACTGACTTGGTTTGCCATAGTAAAAAGTAAATGGGTTTTTCTAGTGTACAGTTTTGAAATAGTCGTTTTTTTGTGTCGAGTTTTCCAAAGTTGAGAAGATTGAAAATTTTTAAATGTATTATTTATTTTATCCATCAATTAGTTTATGATTTCTTTTATTTTTTTCAGTGGATAATTTTACCTTGCATTCGACTACTTTTAAGCACTTTACTCGGTAACTTTTTACTAGAGACTTTTCTAAATCCATCAAGCTTGAACCATAGAATACGATTTTGTATTCTATATTAAATAAGACATGAAAATATGAGAGCTGTAATCTAAGAACTTAATTCTAGAATAAACCACAATTATTTGTACGAAAATAAAACCAAGGAAAGCGTACTGTTAAATCATATGTATTAACCTAATAGTATGCAATTGAATTACATACATGTGAAACTTAATTTTAATCATTTCAGCAATTTCGATTAAAATACATCTGACAAATCTGAAAATAATATTATAGTAAAAGCTTATTTCTAAAACTTGGATGTTTTGAAGTTAGTAAGTCAATTATTGCGTCAATTGTGATCTTGTTTAAAATATCTTTTTCAGAGTTCATCTTCTAATTTTTCTTGTCTGATGGAATTTCGCAACCGATTTTTGATAAATTTTAAAATACTACACAATTGCTCACAAGCCATCTGCGTAAAGGAAAGAGTTAGGAGATATTTGTATGTTAAATTAAGCGTTGGATAAGTGCCCGTCAGAAGATTATACTTGTTTAAAATTCTATAGCAGCACACAGCACAGTCTTTGCAAGATTTTTTTTATTTTTCTTTACGTTGATTGTCTTTAACATTCGGTTTTACTATAGTATTGATACTATAGATTTTTACTATATATTACTCGCTTCTCCCTGCCTATTAGAGTTTAACTCACGCCTGTTTGCGGTTTTGCAAATAATGAACTTCCTTTATCCCAAAAGCATTAATGGTTTAACTTGCATGTCTGTTAAATAAATTGTCCCAAAAAAAACATAAAGTTTAAAAAGGGACTAAATTTTTGATTTTTTTTTTCTGCTTTCCATTCTAAAAAAGTTTCAAATTTTTGAAATATATCTAATTAAATGTTGGGCCAAGCGGCCCTTTCGGGCCGCGTCCCATTGAGAGTTTTCCCTTTTTTCCCTATGGACAGTCCGGCGCTGTACAGGTAAGTCCTCTGAATTGATTTGTTGCGACATTGACTTCAATTTTGACAACTATGAACAGTTTGTTTTATCCTTCAAATTTTTATCACACAATATTCTTGTTTTATATAGTTTTCATCAAAAAGTCACTTAAGCATTCCACATTCTTTATCTGGTTTATTAGCTAGTTTTGAGCAAAACTAATATGGTTTCAAATCGATGATCTGACCGGCCAGTGACCATTGGTCTATCAAGAAACATGGAAAACAAACGAAAATTACAAAAAATAATAAAACATCGCAAATTTATCTCAAAAAGAAAACGTTTGCAGTTCTTCATTTATATAAACTTTTTGTTGATCTTTCATTATTTTTTTTCTCACTTTTGGCCAGATATTTATCTGCATAATTTTACCGATGGAATATTGCAACACCCTGTATATATGTAGTGAATAGAAGCTAATACTAATTATTTTTTTAGTGTGGTCCAAATGTTAAACAGTTGAAGTTAAAATTTAAACAGAATCCATTTCCCGGAGAACCAAACCCTAATGTTTTATGCATAGGCGGTTGTGATTTGAACGTTCTAGAAACATTAAATATAAATCCTTCATCAGTGAGACGAAGTACGTGTGCTATATTAGTCAGATTAACATCAAATTATTATCTTTTTTTTTTCATAACTTTTAGCAACTACTTTAAATGATGGAATCAATGAAAATGCTTCGAGTCGGAATAATTTAAGAAACTATGCAAATGCACACAGAAATAATGAACAGAATAATGGAGTCAGTAGATTTAACAATATAGATAATTCTATAACACATACTCATCATAATTTTTCTAATAGAGATAAACATCAAAATAGAAATAATACAGAGGTACCTGGAAATTATTTGAACATTAAAACCAATAAAACTCCTGTAAATCTCATGCCAGGGCCTTCAAGAACAAATGCAAACAATAGCATAGTAGGTTCCACTGGTCAAGAGGATGACATCGTTTGTTCATGTAATAATAAAGCCTTGTTGCTTACTGTACGTAAAGATGGATCCAATAAAGGTAACTTGATTATTGTAGTTAATGTAAGTTAATCATCGTTTGATTACAGGAAGACAGTTTTATAAATGTGCCAGTGATACTTGTAAATTTTTCTTGTGGGCTGTTGATGATGGAACAAGTAGTAATGTTCGCCACGATGATCAGCAGACTAATAGAATTCATTGTAACTGCCACCAACCAGCAGTGTTGAGAACTGTGTCAAAAGCTGGTCCTAATACAGGTCGACAGTTTTATAGCTGCCCAAAACCATTAGGTGACTCGTGCAATTTTTTTAAATGGGCAGATGAGGTAAGACATTCTTAGTTGAGCAAACTTAAACTGATAAATAAAGAATAATAAGTACAGGGATATATATACACAAAACATTAAAAGTATAAAGATACATATTTTTGTCTATTTTTGCAATTCTCTCTTTATAATTACAGTAAAAGATTAGGGAGTGGAATGATCAGAAGCACTCCGATTATTTCTAATTTCTATTTCTCTTTCTGCAAATATTCATTTTTTAAATTTGACACCATTTGTCTAAGGCAAGTCATACACACATTTGTAGTGATTCTGGGTATTAGGTTAGGTACCAAAATCACTGACACGAAATCTATAAGATTAAATCTATTTACCCAATCATGAGTATTTAACCAATACAAAAATTTAATGTAATAATAAAATCTTTGGAACACTTGGGTTTTTTTCCTGTAGCAAGGCAATATTTAGTCACACCACCAACCAGTGTTCCTAACGAGCATATGTTTAGTGGTGCTGGGCTTCTTTATACACAGCATCGAAACAGTTTTGATGGAGAAAAAGTTTCGAAGCTTTCATTTTTGAAGTTTAATATTCCTATATTCCAGTTTGATTATTAACATGTTTTTGAAAATTTAAAAATAAGTAAAAGAAAAGAATAAACTTCTTTTAAACTTTAAAAATTATTTTTTCGTTTTTTGAAAAAAAATTCATTATAACTTTAAAAAAGTAAAAATAATGTCAAAGTATTGGCATAAAAGTTTAAGAGAAAAATAACGTTTTTATTTGTTTAAATTGATATTTTTTAGTTTCTCAAAAGAAGTTGATTATTTAAAACATTAAAATTCAAAATAATGTGTAATGACTGACGAATGTTTAAGAAAACGCTGAGTTGCACAGTAAAATCTAAAGAGAACTTTTTTCTTCCAAATTGAATGAAGAATCCAAAACTGATTTTTATTTTATGTAAAAGCTGTTCAAATCATTCATTAAAAAATTAAGGTAAGACTGGCCATCTGGTCTATTTGGTAGCCTAAAAGGACCAATGAGCGTGTCGCCAATAATGCCAGCATGAATGTTAATTGAAAACTTATGCTGAAAATTTGTTATTCGAATGACGTGAGGATTTTTGTTGCTCCATAAATCATTATTGTCTCGTAAACGATGCTTCATCAGTGAATAAGATATTTGCTGCCAAGCAGCCATCGTGATCACTCTAGTCTTGGTGGGTAATCTTGAGGTAGTAAATGTTGAACACATTGAAAGTGATAAGAGTGCAATTGTTGTTCGCGAAGTGTTCTCCAACCATATGACTGTGATATGTTTAAATTTCTAGAAATTTGTCGGGTACTTAACATATTATTATTTTCTATTGCTGTCAGGACCATTTCCTCAGATTCCAGAGTTCTAGCATAATGCCGTCGTACAGTGCGACAGAATCCCAAAAAGCTGGCCAAATACCAAGGTTTTATTTCGGGTTTTTGTTGTTGAGGAATGTGAAGTAGGGATATCGAGGGTCCCCAAACAGCCATTCTTTAGGCGCAGGTATATTTCTTGTCCCTGCAGGATCAGTTCGAATGTGACTGTTACACGAGTCTCATGGAACTACCGTCATAACTTTATCGCTCGTCCTCGCTCGTTCTTTGGAATATATTTTATTGAATTACTTATATCTTAACAAAAAAAATGCGTGGTCGATGAACTTGCGCATTTTTGCGCGAACGGAGATATGATTTTTTTTCTGAAGCCGTGCAAATTTCGGTATAAGGGGGTTTTCGGGGTCGCTCACATTATTATATATATTATTTCTTAACTTCTTTCGTTATTAGTTATTTAAAAGGATAAATAAACATATCTCTTCAATAAATTATTGTGTATACATTGAATAAAAAATAAAACATAGTAAAATATGTCACAATATAGTAGTGTCACCGAGAGTGTCACAGTATAGTGAGATCTTTTGTTTTCGCTCGCTGTTGATTCTATTCATGGATTAGTTTTGGCTCCTAGAGGGATGTTATCCCATATTATTCATTGGATTTCAAGAACTGCAAACATTATAGAAGCACAGCAATTGACAGGGAAAGAGATATTCCGCATAATTAAGAATACTCTTGCTTCCCAAATTGTGGACGATGCAGCTCTCATTCTTGAAGCGCACGTGTCATGCCAATTGGGTGATAGTGAATGTGACTAGATTAATCCAATGTAGATGTAGTGTACAAATGAAAAAAAAAAATTTTCTTATCTAATTTTTTTGTTCAATTCATTTGTACCTAGTTCCCCGCCGGAATCTTTCTGATTCTTATACATTGCCGATGCAATTACGATTAAAATATTTTGTTTATTTAAAAACAAACATCTTGTTCATAATTAGCGCAATGTAAAACCCCCAGATAGAAAATTTCACCGTAAAATAAGAATTTTATAATATACTCAGTCGCCATATTGGATCCGCCATTTTTTTGCCAAAATTGATATTGGATTTGTTATCAGCGACCCCGAAAACCCCCGAGTAGAAAATTTCAAAGCCGTTAGACAATGTTTTGGCCAGCTTTTTGGGATTCTGTCCCACTGTGCGTCGTCCGGAATTAATTTTTGTTGCTTTTAATTTATCCGTTTCTCTTAATCTTCTATCGATATTATCAAACATTTGCCGATTTGGTGTTTTTCGTGCAGGAAACATTTCTTTGTACCGCCTAACTGCACATAGGCAGAATTGAAGGGGGGCAAGGGGGGGCACCCCCAATATTATTGCAATTAAACTCAGAGTTAAACTTCAAGGGAGTGCAATTTTAATAGGGTTGCCAGATCTCCTTTTTTTTTTTTCATACACGTCAATTATTTTCTCCAAGTGTGGTAAATATTTCTTGATTACGTCTTATTTTTTAAGGCATCAATTATACAAACAGGACATATCTCCGGATCTGTCATGAATAGATAGAGCACTTTACACGAAAATAGTGCCCGTTTGACAAAATTTGCAGTGGCGTAGAAAATATTTTCAAAAAAGGGTCACGTTGACGCTGCTCATAAAATTTTTAGCAGTACATCAAACATTGGTCTTAAGGTGCTAACTACGCATAGCAAATTTGAAATAGAAATGTTCAGGCATTTTGGAATTATTGCAGACAATGTTTAATTTTACAGAAACTGACGGCAAAAAATATTTAGTGATAAAATTTGGGGGATGACATTTTTTTAGTAGGGACTATTTTTTCATGTGTAACTTATTCCAAAATACACTCCCGTGGCGTAGTTATTGGGGGGGGGGGGGCTTTTTTGAAAAAAATTTCTATGCCACTGGCTTTTAAAATAATTTTAAATGTTTTTAAAATGTACAATCAATTTGTGGCGATAAAGTATTCTTGTAAAGTATTGGTAAAATTTGCTGGTCTTTAGATAATTGGAAAATCAAATAAGAAGATACTACGTTGATATTTATCGTTTTCTACTGATTGCTAAATGTGTAAGAATAAATTCAATACCTAATATTTTTCAGAGATTTCAAAACACTATACGCCACTGTTTTGTGTGTTGCAAAAAGTTTGTGAAAACGGTGAGACTTAGACCCTTGCGTTATAAGTCAATTCTAAATTATTTATTGAGTTCTATTTGTGGTTAAAGTGTGATTCACCCAAACTGAAACACCGTGTATAATTTTTTTCTGATATTCATAGCAAAATATTTGAATATATATGCGAATATTACCAAATTGAGCTATCTCTAATGTGTGAGTTAAATTGATAATTACATTTGGTTACATTAATTAAAATTTGATATAATTTAAATATTTATGCAGTATATAATTTATAAACTTCCAAGAAAATAATCTTTTATTATAAAATAATAAGAATATTTTCTTTCTATGAACTTCCCAAGAACTTAAAGCTTCTTGTAATACATCTGTTGTTTTTTAAATATTTAACTAAATAAATACCGTTTGATATTTTTTTAATCAAATTTAGTACAGAGCTTTCATAAATGATTACAAGCCACATGATCAGTAATTTTGTTTGGAACAGTGATTTTATTTCCTTCATGTTGCCAATTAAATTTCGGTAAAGTTAAAAATTATTAAAACAAGATCAAGATTGCATTAAAACACAACTTTCTGTTTTACCGGCAGGTGTTCGGTGTAATGATTCAACCAATCAGCAATCGTCGCATTATCTTGAGCGTAGATGCTAAGATTTAAAAGCGGATTCTCACTTATGGGTTTTCACCCCGGGTTTTAACCCTGCATCAAAACCCCAGGACTTTTCAGTACACACTTGCGTGTTATGAGCCTTGTAAAAAACCCTGAGTGTTCACCTTTGAAATTTGAACATGTTTCTATTTTTCTGTTGCGGGTGACAAGTTTTTTGTGAAAATTCACTAGATTTGTGAGTTGATAACGTGCTTTTGACAAATACTAGGGATTTTTTCGTTTTGTTAGCGTTACTTACGACAGTTTTTATGTTTATGTGTTTATAATCTAGGGTTATGGTTATTTATTGTTATTTATAGGGTGATAGTTGTAGAATAAAAATTTAAATTTCATGGCTTACGAGTGGGAACTATCGAATGTGGTAATGGAAAAAACAATAAAAATGAGTGAAACCTGTGAAACTGCAGCAAAAGGAAGATTTATTTGAGGGAAGGAGGCTGTTATGGCTTTAATAAAGTTGTAACAAAATCAACCTATTTTATACAATCTAAAACACGTTCAGTATAAAAATAAAGTAAAAAGAGAGGTTGCAATAAGGTCAATTAAAGATGAGTTATTAAAGTTGCCTTCGTTGAGGCATTATTACACTTGCTGCCCCACAGATTATTGCAGCTAGCAATATTGTTTCTCCTGGTTCCATAACAAGCTTTTTAATATTGTTATATTTATGTTTTATTTAACAAACGAACAATTAAACTAAATTTTCCCACCCAGCATCGGCAACTGTCAATGCCTACCATCATAGAACATAAAAACAACTAGATTTGACTCGACTATACCAACCCTGGAATAAACTAATAAATGTGCATGCATAAAGGATTTCACCCTTGACCTTGAAAAGACTTGCAAACAGCTGATGGGTTCACTTAAAACCCCGGAGTCAAAACCCCGCTAAAAACTCCTAAGTGAGAATCAGCCGTAAGAATTTTTAGTTGACAGTACGAGCCCTGCAGTGTTGGTTGCCTAAGATTTGCGGTCATGTGGCTTGTAATAATTTATGAAGGTTCTGTACAGAAGCATTTTGAGGGGTTAAGTTTAATGTTTGACAAATTTTTAATAAAAAAAACCGCTAATATGGTTTCTTAAATTTTGGGAATATTAAAATGTTTATGAAAACTGCATTTGTACCCAAGCAATGTCAAAATTTTTACAGTATCTTCGATTTATTTGTACTTTTGTACAACAGTGCACATCGAGTATATCTTTGTCCTATACTATCAATTCAAATAGCAAAGGGTAGAAACATCTCCGAAAGATTGCAAATAAGTTGAAAAAATACTATTGGAAGTGCAAAATTGCATATGCTTTTTACTAAAAAACTATTTTAAATATCTCAAAAAATTTATATTCTATAGGTTTGTGTACACCTCAAGATAAATACATTTAAAAAAATATATAAATAATTTTCGACAATTAGTTGGCAATTTGAAATTAAAAGAAAAATTTAGATTAATTTCATTTAAATTAACGCTTTTAATTATAGTTATATGAATAACTCATAATAAGAAATAAATTTATTATGTATTTTAATCAATCGTATTAGACCAATGAAAATACTGGAGGTGAAGGAGATGATGACTGGGGAGGAGGTGGTAACATTACAAGAAGAAATTGGAATGGAAATAATTCAAATTGGAGAGGCAAATCTAATAAAGGAAAACAAAAACCTGCTTCCAATAAAGTGACTCCTTACACTGGTCAAACAAGGGCAAAAAGAAAATGTGGAATATGTGGACAGGAAGGTAACTGCTTACGAAGTATTTTGTTTTGTAATGCATCAGCTTACTATACGTTTCAAATGTATTGGCTCCTGATCTTGAACGCACATTACAAAAAATTGGCTGGCGAAATTGGGGTGAATTGTGAAAAATATAGGCGATATAGGTAGTTAATGCCCTGTAAATATTTTCACTTGCAAAAAAATTTAAGTTATACATTAGTATATACAAAAATGTAAATTTTTTTAAAGCTGTCTAGCAATAGTGGCTTTTCAGAGGAGGCAGGGAGGGCTCCTCAGAATATTTTAAGTAAATACAAGCTGTTACAAATTCGCTTCTCACTACAGGGATCTCGGAAACGCTAAGAAGTACGATGTAGCTTAAATGGGGGCAAAGTTGCGTAATCAGGGATCTAAAAAATCAAGGCTAACAAGATTAGTTAAAAAAAAAACGAAATTTTAGAAATCCGTTGTTAATTTCAACTTAGTTTGAGGTAATATTGAAAAAAGAAGAACACCTCATTGCCACTTTTTGCCCTCTATCGAATGGCATAATCAATTTTTATATGTAACGTTTCGTCTCTCCAGGACCATCATCAACTTAATTTTTTTAAATACGACCCTAGAAATTTTATTACATTTTTTGCAAGCCCTCATGACCCCCCAATACTATACAGCCCGAACCAGATTCAGACGTTTTGTCTCGAAAAATTCATCTTCTGTGTATTTGTTCCAAATTTATCTAAATTTTTTATTTAGATTTCTTTGTTTATTGAATTATCGTACACTGTAAGTGTTGTTAGACCCTGTGAAATCCATCTAGTTATTTAAACTATTACCACCAGGCCTTACAATAAAACATTTATTATTATTAACTATTACCATCACTTGTCATACATAACTCAATAAGTTGTTGTGTCAAAATTAAAACATTATTACAATTTTAACTTCATTATGACAAATTAATTCTTAAAAATGCATATGAACAATCAAAACGCCAACTGAATATTATTCTTTAAAGAATTTCAGTAAATGTTCAAAAACATTTTCGTTTTGGCAAAGGTTGAAAATGAAGATCAGCGTAATATTATCGGAATTTATTATAGGTATCTGTAACCGCAACTGTGAAAGGGCATGTCAGATGTATTTGTATGAGTATACTAAAAAAAAATAGATCTGAATTTGTTTGAATTTTGATCACTCCAGAAGCCTAGAAATAAGTATGGACACGGGAATAAAATTCTAATAATGTTTTATTTTAATGCGTGGTGGTAATAGTTTAAATAACTAGATGGATTTCACAGGGACTAACGACACTTACAGTGTAGGATAATTCAATAAACAAAGAAATTTAAATAAAAAATTTAGATAAATTTGGAACGAATACACTGAAGATGAATTTTTCGACAAAACGTCTGAATCTGGTTCGGGCTGAGGCAGTACAGTATTGGGGGTCATGAAGGCTTGCAAAAAATGTAATAAAATTTCCAAGGTCGTATTAAAAAAAATGAAGTTGATGATGGTTCTGGAGAGATGAAACTTTACATATAAAAATTGATTATGACATTCGATAGAGGGCAAAAAGTGGCCATGAGAAAGTGTTCTTCTTTTTTCAATATTACCTCAAACAAGGCTGAAATGAAACAAAAACGGATTTCCAAAATTTCGCTTTTTTTCAAGTATTTCGAAAACTAATCATGTTAGCCTTGCTTTTTAAAAGGCATAATGTTGGTCCCCTAATTACGCAAATTTCCCCCATTTAAGCTAGTTTGTATCTCTTAACGTTTTCGAGATCCCTGTAGTGACAAGCGAATTTGTAACAGCTAGTATATATTTTTTTGCAACTGGTAATATGCAGAGAGTTTCTGAAATAAGTGCATTCCTTGAAATGAGTGATAGAGGCCATGTAAATAAGCAACTGATATTCCAAAACATTATGTTTTAAATTGCCAAAAAAATTTTCAGATAAAGATTTAAACAAATTTAAAGCCGTCCCTGGTGCGGCAGCCAGTTGTACCTTTGATAGCGAAGTTACGCGTGCCGCGCTGATGGCGGTTTTGACGGTTTAAATTTTGTGTTTGATGCTGAAATTTATTCAAATCTCGTTTAAAAGTAACACAAAAATTAAACGAATTACTTACCGATAGACGATATGCACTACAAAAATGGTTCAAAGTTGTTTCCATGTGCTAACAAACATGCTTCCAAACGACGGTCAAAATTCTATCACCAAAAACACCACACCACACATTTACTAAAAACTGATCTCTCTGGAACAGGAGGAGCTGCATCACACCAATAGTGAATATTGTGAAAATTTAGTATGCTGTTCTAGTAAAACGACATTCATTCGTAAAAAGCACCTTGCTTGTAAAATCCAGATCTTGTGCTATTTGATGTCGAATTCCAGGCAAAATTCCACACGGGGCTAAAAATCGATATTTAATACCTGAACTCTTTGTACAGGGTGGGCAAATAAGCGAGGTAAGCGGCTGTATCTCAGAAACTAGTGATCGTAGAGAGCTACGGTAAAAAATTTTATAGGTAAAGTGGGCAAGGGAAAATGCTGGAAATTATTTTCAAGTTTCCAAGATGGCCGCCAGTGGGCGTTTCCACCATCTTGAATTACATAAAGTTACGTTTCTCGCGATTTTCCCCAATGAATGTAACAAAAAAGTATTTGCGTTTTAATGTTAACTTAAAGTCGAACATTTTTTGTAAAAACAATTTTTCTCTATCTTTCGAAATAAAGTGGTGGGGGGTATTTGAATGTTGTTTTAAATAAATGCCTGTAACTTCGAAACGGCTTAATGGATTTGGATAAATTTGGTATCATTGAAAAGAGCATTTCTTGGGCTTTTAGGTTTCTCGTAATCATGACAGTTGCGACCTACACGGCCGCCGATAGAGGGCGTTATTCGATATTATAACCAAAATATTGGATTTTCTCAAAAAATTTAAATGCGATGATATGACTTTTTTTAGACTAGAAAATAGACAAATGACCAACCAATAAGCCTGCGCAAACCGCATCTTAATATCTTTTTCCTAACTCAAATTATTTAAAAAAATACTAAACCAGGAAAATTCATATATCCCCATTTAAAAATGCATCGGTTGCTTTCGATAAGAAGGCAAGTAGTAGGCCATGGACACGACAATCGCCTAACAAAAATATTGCCAAGTAACGTCAAACTTTTGTCACACGCAGCCTAATATTGTTGATTGCGTATAATTTGAGTACTTTTTAATCAAAATGCCTCTCACAAATAATGAAGCCGTTGACATGATTGCGATTTATTTCGAGTGTTTTCAAAATGCAGCTATAGCTGCAAGACAGTACGCGGCACGGTATCCAGATCGCCGTCATTACGGGAGAAGAATGTTTCCGCGCTTGGTACAGCGATTACGCGATACTGGAAGTTTTCGTCGTCCTAAACGTCGCAGGCGTCGCAATGGAAGGACCGAAGAAAACATTATCAATGTCTTGGCTTACATAGAATTTGATAGACATGTAGGAACTAGAACATTGTCTCTAGACTTGGGAATAGCACGAACAACTGTTAGAAATATTTTGAAAGATTATAGGTAAATAATTTTATCTTATTCCAAGTATCTTAGCACATACTCTCAAATACACAATTCAGTGTTATTCTGATTATATTATTTTTACGCATATGTTGTTTTTTACTTTTAGATTACATCCTTACCACATAGTTTTGCACCAGGCGCTAAATGAACAAGATTTCGATAATAGATTAAATTATTGTCAATGGATGCTAGGCATGCTTGAGGAAAACAGAAATTTCTTAACGGAAATTCTCTGGACCGACGAGGCTACCTTTAGTAGTGATGGTAGAGTAAACCGTCATAATATGCATTATTGGTCCGCTGAAAATCCGCATTGGTTAAGAGAAGTGCAGCACCAGGGACGCTGGAGCCTAAATGTGTGGTGCGGTATCATTGGGGACAGAATTATTGGACCTTATTTTTTTGATCAAGCTTTAACTGGTAACCGCTTCTTAGAGTTTTTGATCAACGACTTGCCAATTTTGTTGGAAGATGTGCCACTCGAAACTAGGAGAACTATGTTTCTGCAATTAGATGGTTGTCCGGCACATTATTCAATTAATGTCCGAAACCATATTAACGGGACCTTTCGAGAACGCTGGATAGGAAGGGGAAGCCTATTTCCTTGGCCGGCAAGATCTCCGGACTTGACATGTCTTGATTTTTACTTGTGGGGACGCTTAAAAGACATTGTTTTTCAAACTCCACCAACAACACGAATGGATATGGAAAACAGAATTCGAAACTCAATTCGTCAACTATCAGCGGTAGAAATCGAGGCTGCGGTTCTGTCGACTCAAGAAAGACTGGAACAATGTGTGGAATATGACGGAAGGCAATTTGAACACAGAAGGCATTAATCTTTTTTCAAAATCGGTCCTTTTCAGGACCACAACTTTATTTAAAAGGAAAATCGCTTATAAATACGAAAACGTGCGACTTAAAATCACAGCACTAAATAAACTGACATTTCTTGTGAATATTTTAGAGAGGAGTTTGTCTTTTATTTCCATGGCCTACTACTTGCCTTCTTATCGAAAGCAACCGATGCATTTTTAAATGGGGATATATGAATTTTCCTGGTTTAGTATTTTTTTTAATAATTTGAGTTAGGAAAAAGATATTAAGATGCGGTTTGCGCAGGCTTATTGGTTGGTCATTTGTCTATTTTCTAGTCTAAAAAAAGTCATATCATCGCATTTAAATTTTTTGAGAAAATCCAATATTTTGGTTATAATATCGAATAACGCCCTCTATCGGCGGCCGTGTAGGTCGCAACTGTCATGATTACGAGAAACCTAAAAGCCCAAGAAATGCTCTTTTCAATGATACCAAATTTATCCAAATCCATTAAGCCGTTTCGAAGTTACAGGCATTTATTTAAAACAACATTCAAATACCCCCCACCACTTTATTTCGAAAGATAGAGAAAAATTGTTTTTACAAAAAATATTC